GCCACGGCCTGCTGCAGCGTGGCGATGGCCGAGGTGGCCGGCGGCGGCGGCGGCGCGAGGAGGCCGCGCGGGCCCAGCTCCGCCTGCTGCGCCATCTGGCGGTCGTACTTGACGATCTCCTGGATGATGGCGTTCTCCTGGTTGTTGAACACGCCCGAGCTCAGGTCGTGCTGCACCTTGTGCAGCAGCAGCGAGTTCTTCTTGCCTGCGGGGGGCGGGCGCGGTCAGCGGGCCGGGCGGGGCGGGCGCCTGCTGTATGCGGGGGCGCTCCTGCACAGTGAGCGGGTGTGGGTGCCTGCTGTATGCACGGGAGCTCCTACACACGGCGAGCGGGTGTGGGCGCTCCTACACACAGTGAGCAGGTGTAGGCGCCTGCTGTATGCAGCGCGCGGGGGGCAGCTTCTGCATACAGGGCACACGCAGGGGAGCTCCTCCTACATACAGCTGGGAGATATGGGCGCCTGTTGTATACAGCGTGCAGATGTGGGCCCCTACTGTCTACAGCGAGCACGTGTGAGAGCTCTTACATACAGCCAGCAGGTATGGAGTACTGGGCACAGCAAGCATGTATTGAGCACCTGCTGTGCACAGCAAGCACATGGAGAGCTCACTGTATACACAAAGCAGGTGTCAGAGGCTGTGCACAGCATGCATTGCACGTCCCGTGCACAGTAGTCATGCATTGAGCACCTGCAGTGTACAGCAACACACCCAGAACATCTGCCTGTACACAGCCAGAGTGCTGAGTGCCTACCATATACACAGCAAGCATGTGCTGAGCACCTACTGTTTACAGCGAATCGTTGAGCGCCTATTATATATAAACATGTTGAGTGCTTTCTTTATACTGGGACATCTTCCCTCTAACGGCCATCAACCTTGTTTCTCCAGCTGGCATCTTTATTACCACAGACAGCACCAAGGGCCACATCTCTCTGGTCCTGCGTCTTGTCATCATCGAGTCCTGAGGGCTCCACCGCCCAACCCTTCCTGTGATCCGCCCCCACCTCTCCCTACACCCAAGGGCCCCCCTTCCGGTATAGTTCCCACCTTTGTAGAATGCAACTCAGATCGGCTGCTCCCCTGCCTAGCATCGCCCGTGGCTCCCTACTGCTCCCAATTTACAGTCCAAACTCCTCCCCACGGCCCACGAGGCCTCTCCTGCCTCCCTAGCCACCCTGGCCTCTCTCCTACCTCAGGGCCTTTGCACACACTGTGTCCACTCCTAGAACACACCTCTCCCTTTCTGCCCAGCCACACCTCCTCCTGGCCTCCACTGGGCACCACAAAGGTCCCCCCCATCCCTCCTCTAGGACAGAAGCCTCCTGAGGGTGGCCCCAAGCCAGCCCCTGGGCCCACCGTCTACACCTCCTGGCACACTAGGTGCTCAGCAGACATTTGCAGAGAGAGTGAAAGTTCTGACAACTGGGGGCACCCACACTTCCTGGGAAACTGTGGCTGCGTTGGGCCAGGGGAGAAAGCACGTCAGGGCCTCGGCCTGGGGACCAGAGGGTCAGCTCGGCCACGCCACTCCCGCCCCAGCCCCGGCCCCTCACGTGCCACTCACCGATGCGGTCCAGGCGGTCGATGGCCACGGTCTCGAAGGCCCGCCGCATCATGGGGTACTCCTCCAGGACCTCGTTGAAGTGGTCCACACTCAGCGAGTACAGGCGGCAGTAGGTGTCAGCCCGCACGCTGGCCGTGCGCCGGCCCCGCGTCAGCAGGCAGATCTCTGCGTGCGGCCGGGGGTGCGCTCAGCGGCCAGCGACACGCGGCCACCCCCGGCCCACGCTGCGCCCAGGGCCCACCCCCCCATCCCAGGGCCCTGCAGAAGCTCACCCCCGAAGTAGGAGCCGTCGGACAGCTTCATCTCCTTGTTGCCCTTGGTGAGCACGCTGACCACACCGTGCTGGATGAAGTACATCTTCTTCCCTACGGTGCCCTCGCGGATGATGTAGTCGCCCGGCTGGAAGACCTCGAATTTAAGCTTGGTCAGCATGGCCGTGACGAAGTTGGGGTCGGCGTTGGCAAACAGCGGCATCGAGGCCACCAGCTTCCGGCAGTTGAAGTTGACGATCTCCTGTGGGGGCGGGAGGCAGGGTGACGCCAGCGCACGCGCCCCCTCCCGCCTCCGTCTTGCCCTCCCTTGGGGGCCATGGCACCCCTCAGACCCCCAGTTTCTTCGTCCGTGGAAGGCGTTCAGCACTGGAGCCTGAGAGCCAGCCTCTCACTTAACGGGCAGACACTGCAGGTCTTGCCACCAGAAGCGGGAGCGAGAACAGACGTGCACCAGTTCTGTACACGTAACTGGACTGGCGACGCTGGCCAACGCAATCAGACGAGAAAAGGCCATCCAGACGCAAGAAAGGGGACGGAAAAAGTAAAACTGTCTCTGCTCATATCACTACCTGAAAACCCAAAAAACCGTCTCTGCTAACGTCACTACCTAGAAACCGAAGAAAGAATCAATGGAAAATTGGAATAATGAGTCAAAATAGCAAATAAGATGAAAAATCAACTTAAAAACCAAGAACCTCAGAACAAATCAGCAGTGGGGGACGTCGGGGTGACGGGCGCCCTTGGCAAAGAGGCTCTTGGGGGTGGAGATGTGCCGTGTTTGGTCTGGGGGGTGGTTACATGAGGACTCCACTTTGTGGGACATCGTCAAGGGCCCTGTGACATGGGCACTTTGCTGTAGGATACCTTTTTTTTTTTTTTTGGTGAGGAAGATCAGCCCTGAGCTAACATCTGATGCCAATCCTTCTCTTTCTGCTGAGGAAGACTGGCTCTGGGCTAACATCTGTGCCCATCTTCCTCCACTTTATATGGGACGCCGCCAGGACACCGTCACAGCATGGCTTGATGAGCAGTGGGTCGGTCCACGCCGGGATCTGAACCTGCGAACCCCGGGCCACCGAAGTGGAGCACGCGCACGTACCCCCTGCGCCACCGGGCCGGCCCGTATAAGATACATTTCAATCAGAAGGAAAGCTGACTTCAAGGAGGAAATCAAGACCTTTCATACATACAAAAAAGCCCATCAGCAGAAGGTGGAACGGATGCGAAGGCCCCGCTCACACGGCGTAGAGAGCTACGTAAAAAGGCGTGGCGTGAATGTTACAAGAAACGTCCAAACTCGCGTGGAGAAAACTCAGAAACGCTCCGGAAAGGCACAGGAGGAGACTGGAACACGCCGTGCCCGCAGACAGAACGCACCCCGTCACGAGGACGAGAGGCGTCCACCCTCCCCGTCCACTCACGACTGGACACGACCCCACTGAGGTGCCAGCAGGTCTGCTGTTTAACGACGGGGCCAGTCTGGTCCCTACAGAGCAAACGAGCAAAAATAGCAAACAGCCAAAGTCAGAGCTCAAAGAGCAGGAAGCCGCGAGGAAGGAGAGCCGGGAGGGGCCGGCCTCCCAGACATGAAAACGCACGGGGCCTCTGATTCGGGCCGCGGGGGCTCAGCGCCCTCGAGCACACAGGCCAGGGGCGAGGCGAAGCCCAGAAATAGACCCGCGCACAGCGGGCTGGAGTCTGAAGTACAAGGGGCCCCGTCACGGGGCAAAGCCGGACGCGTCCGCCCCCCGCAGGAGATGAGCCCGAACCCCGTCCTCACGTCACCATCCGGGGTGAGGAGAAAACGTGGGTGAAGGCCCCCATAACCTGGGGGGGGGGCATCATGCATGTATTATGCACCTGCTGTATACAGCAAGCAGGTATTGGGGCCCCCGCTGTACAGCAAGTATGTATTAAATGTCCACTGTCTATGGAAAGAAGGTATTGAACACCTACTCTGTACAGGAAGCACACATTCAGCACCTACTGTGTACAGCAAGCATACATGGAGCACGTGTTGTACACAGCATAAAAATCCTCTGTGGCCACAAAACAAGCGAAGTTAAAAGGCACATGGCCATCGGGATAGAAATCTGTATCACAAGGAGTTGAGGTCCTCCATATATAAAGAATTTCTAAAAACAATGAAAAGACCCAAAATCCTGCAGAAAACCAAGCAGAAGTTAGGGGCAGAAAGAGAAACGCAAACAAAACTGCCCTGTTCACAGTGAAGGCTCAGCCCCCCTCAGAGTGAGATGCCCCTGGCGCCCCCCACCTCGCATTGCGGGACTGTCCCTGCAGCCCGGTGCCTGGAGTTCGCATCCCAGGAAGGGAGCAGAGCGAGTGCGCCCCAGACACCCGCAAGCCTTGGTTTTGTATTAAAAAGGAAACGAGGGGCCGGCCGGGTGGTGCAGTGGTTAAGTGCACGCGCTCCACTTCGGCCGCCCGGGGTTCGAAGGTTCGGATCCTGGGTGCGGACCTACGCACCGCTCGTCAGGCCATGCTGTGGCGGCGTCCCACATATAAAATAGAGGAGGATGAGCACAGACGTTAGCTCAGGGACAATTTTCCTCAGCAAAAAAAAAAAAAAAAAAAAAAAACAGAAAAAGAAACAAGATACAGCTGGGATAGCAGCTGGAAACTTCTGAACATGTGTGGTTTTGTAAATTCAACTTCGGAACCGTGTGAACTGTTAAGTGATGATCACAAACAAAGTGACGGCCCACGGGCACGGTGTCCTTTTGGGGGGACGGGCGTGTTGTGGGATCAGACAGTGGTGATGGCGGCACACCTCTGAATATGCAAACCCGTATGCAGAGAATTCAGTGAGTTTTGTGCTGAATTTGTGGTCTGTGAGGTCTGTGTGTAAACGAATGAATGAAAATAATTATCAAATACAAGGAAACACAGTGGCGTACACCACGGCGCCCGCCCTCTGGGAGGCAATGGTGTGAAGCCCCCCCCAGAAGCCCCAGTGCCCCCACAGACCCCAGGCCCCGAGCACAGGCCCATCAGCCCCCTCTCCCCCGCCTCACGCACGTCTTCTCTCCCTCCTCGGGGCCTGTGCCCCCCCCAGGACACTGCAGGCTCACCCCACAGCCCCCTCCCCGCTCCCGTCCCTCCTAGAGCTTCTCCCTCTGGCACCACTGTGGTCACAGCCTCACTCCCTGAGGACAGGGCACACAGTCGGCACTCTATAACTGCTCAGTGAGTGTCATGGGTTGAATCGTGTCCCCTAAAGAAAATATGTTGAAGTCCTGACCCCTGGGAACAGGACCTCATCTGGAAATAGGGCCTTTGCGGATACAACTAGATGAGATGAGACCAACCTGGAGCAGGGCAGCCCTGCGTCCAAAGACGGGTGTCCGTCTAAGAGGAGGGACACAGACACACGGCAGACGGCCACGTGACCACGGAGGCAGAGACCAAGGGGAGGCATCCACGAGCCAAGGGGCACCGGGGACGGCCGGCTATGCTGGACGCTGGGAGAAGCAGGAAGGACCCTCCCCTGGAGCCTCCAGAGCCTGACGACAGCTCGGTCCCGGGCCTCCGGCCTCCAGAACGTGACGGGGGCGATTTCCGTTGTCTGAAGCCCCGGCTCATGGGGGCTTACTCCGGCAGCCCCAGGAACCCTGCCCGGCCTCCCCCGGCCCGGCCTCCCTCCTCTGTCCAGCACAGACGGGGCTGGCGGGGGAGCGGCGGCCTGGGGACCAGGCCTGGGGCGGCGCATCGAGAGGCTCAGGGTGTGCACACAAGTCTAGCTCGAGTCCCTCCTGCTGCGGCGGGCCCGCCTCCAGGGCCGAGTCCCCGCGTGGGCCGCCCCCGCTCACCTCCCGCAGGGGCCCGCTCAGCTCGCCCAGGATGCTCTCCTCGTCGAACATCTTGCCCTGGTAGCGGTGCTCGTAGTAGTCGTGGATCTTCTGGCGGAAGTCGGCGGGCAGCTTGTGGAAGGACATGTACTGCTCCACTTGTTTGTACTGTCACAGGGGGCACAGGGGGGTCAGCGCAACCCTTAGCGGGAGTCCACCCCGCGCGGCCTCGGACGTGCTTAGAAGAACCATCATTCCCGGCGCCTGGGTTTTGCAACCCCGCCCCTTGACCCCAGGCTGGACCAGGCCCCCAGAGATGCTGGGCCCCGTCCCGGAGGACCCCTCCCGATGACCTTTCTAGAAGCCACTGGCTCAGCTCCTCCGAGCAGGGCTGTGGGCACAGGCGGGGGTGCCAGGCCCTGCCGTCCCTGGGACAGCGCCCCCGGGGGCGCCCCAGCCCGGCTTCCGCCCCGCCCTGCCCGCCGCAGCTGCCCTGAGCTCAGCGGAACCCGTGACGGCGGGCGGGTGGCGGCACCAGCTTCTGTTTGGGTGCGAGGCCCGCGGCTTCCGGACAGCCGGGGCGCCTGGCGCCCGGCCCAGCTGACCCGGCCGACCCGGCCGGCACCGCAGGGGGGCTCGCAGCTGCCCAGAGGGACGGCTGGGGCAGCGTCTGGCAGGGGAGCCCGAGCTCACCCTGGGCCTTAGGGGAGAAACTGACGCACTGAGTGGAGAGCGAGGCTGGACCCAATGCCCGCTGTCCCTTGACCCTTCCCAGACCCCTGGCCCTGGACTAGCCCCGTGGAGGTTCCCCCCACCTGGAGGACAGGCCCAGTGGCCAAGCATCCTTGCCCCCCTGGAGACCCCCCAGGGGCCCGGCCACCCAGCATGTCATCGAGGGACCCTGCTCGGTCTTTCCCCACCCCAACCCCTCCCGAGCCGGCCCAGAGACTCCGCAAGAGCTCCACCTCCCAGAGAGGACCCCCAGCCCAGGGAGCTCCCTGACTCCCCCTGGACTGGCCCTGCCCCATTCAGACCCCACCTCGCTCCCGTCCCCTGCTCGGCCTGTATCCCCTCAATCCCTCCAGCCACGTCCCCTCCAGGATCCATGTCCCTCCTCCTGAAGGGCCTGGGCTTTCTCACCGTCTCTGGGAGCTGCTCCCTCTGCTGAGGGGCGTCCATGCCTCCTGGTCAGAGCCACAGACCATCCAGGTCCCCATGGCCCCCCACTGCCCTCCGGCCCCATCCCGAGCCCACCACGTGGAGCTGGGAGGATGGTGTGGCGGGCGCACACAGATCCCTAGACCCCCAGGGTGCGCCTCCCCCGCAAACCCCAGGTAGGGCCCCCTCCCCCCCAGAGCCGGGCAGGGCCCCCTCCCCCTGCAGACCCCAGGCAGGGCCCCCTCCCCCCCAGACCCAGGCAGGGCCGCCGCCCGCAGACCTTCTCCTGGTACTGGCGCCGCGAGGAGTCCAGCGACTGGATAAGGGCGGTGGCATGGCCAATGAACATGGCGTAGCAGGTGGCGCCCACGATCATGCTGAGCATCGTCAGCCAAATGTCCGTCATGCTCTCGGGCGCCTGGCGCCCGTACCCGATGCAGAGCATGTGGCTCATCGCCTTGAAGAGCGCGAAGGAGTAGAGCTCGCTCCACGAGTGGTTCTGCAAGGCCGGGGGGGCGGGTGGGTGGGCGCTCACGCCCCGGGAGCCCCTCGACCCCAAGCGCCCCACCTGCCCATCCTCCCCAGGCACCCCAGGGGGTGAGCTCCCTGTGTCCAAAGGGAACCAAGAGAAAGTGAGACCCAGGCAGGTGACCTGATGTGCACGCGGGTCACAGCACGTGAGCGGCAGGGGTTGGTCTGAAGCCGCCTCCTCACTTCGCTCCTGGGGAAACTGAGGCTCAGAGGGGCCAGAGTGTGGCCCTGGGGGCTCAGGAGCCCCCACCCCTTTGCAGCCTCTGATCAGAGTGTCTGTGAGGCCGAGAGGATGTGAAAGTTCCAGGGACCCCAGGAACGGTCAGCTGGGGACACAGGAATCCGGTCAGAGGAGCAGGGAGGGTGGAGGCCTCAGGCAGGGCCAGGAGGCCCCCCTGCCCGTCCTCAGCTGACCCGGCCGAGGGAGGGGGCAGCGGGGCCCATTCAGGAAACAGGACAGCAGGCCCGGGTGTCCGCCAGACAATGAGCTGCCTCAGCACGCAGCTGTGCCAGGCGCCGGGTGGGCGCCCTCTGCCGCTCCTCACCCACCAGCGCCCACCCCCCACCCCGTACGCGCCCAGGGGCGGCCAGGAGAAAGGCTCGCCGTGGTGCCAACCCAACTTTAACACCTGCCCGCACCCAGGACTCGCCCTTTGTAACAGGTGCTGGGTGCCCTTTACGGATTTTATTTAAGGCCCATGATGCACCTTCCCATGGGAGGTCACGACATAAAATGGTCTTTTAAACGAATGTATGTAAATAAAAAAGTGAAATCACTTGGGAAAACCAGTAAGCACACCACGTTATCTCTGGTGACACAGTTGTCACGGTCAAGGTGCTGCGTCTCAATAGTCTGGGGTCTGAAAGGCTGAAAGTGGGGACAGGAGCCCAGAGGGGCCCTAACGGGGGGTGGGGGGGTGTGGGTTTCAGGCATGGTGTGCTCCAGCAGCAGCGCTGGGTTCTGAGCCCTGGCATGCCGCCGGACCTCAGTTCCCCGTCCATGTGGCCGGGACGGCCGGCGGGGGACTCACCACCATGCCGTTGATGGACACCCAGCAGTTGCGCGGGAAGTCCTGCAGCATGGGCACCAGGAACTGCAGGCAGCCGTCCCAGTGGCACAGCAGCAACATCATGCTGATAAGGTTGCAGATGCGCATCACTGCGCTTGCCAGATCGTAGGTCATGTGGAAGATCTGGGGGCGGAAGCGGGCGTGAGGGTCCCGCAGACCACCCCCACCGCCAGACAGTGGGAGGAAGAAGCCCCTGAGCACTCCGAGGGGCGCCTCCATCGTGCCGCGCCCCCCACGCAGCCCGTGCGCCCCGCTCCCGGAGGCCCCGCTGCCTCTCCCTAATGGACCGTCGGAGGCGCGCTCGGCCCCTGCGCAGCCCGCCGCCCCGGGATCCCACCCCCTCTCCTGGGACCACCCTGTCCCCGCCCCTTCCCCCGGAGCCTTGTCCCGCACTAGAAACTGGCCCCGCAGGATCGTCACGGGTGGCAGGAAGCGGGTCCCGACTTGGGGGAGAGGAGATAACTTCACTTCCCTGAGCCTCAGTTTCCCCATTGCCAATGGGGCTGTGGATTCCTCCTCTCAAGGGCAGAATGAAGGGAAGGGGCCCGGATGTGTCGAGGGTCCGCGCTGCGCTCTTGGTGACCCCACCCTGAGACCCCGCCCCGTAGGGCCCCCTGTGACCTGCTGATGACCACGCTCCTGGGCCTGTAACCGGGCCTGTCTTCTCTCCACCGGCCCCTAGACCCTCATAGCCCCGCCCAGAGCCTCCATCATGGCCCCACCCCCACATCCAAGGCCACGCCCCTGTATCTATGGCCCCGCCTCCTCCCACGGCCCCTTGCGCCCATCACAGCCCCGCCCCTGCATCCCTGGCCCGACCCCCGGGCACGCGGCCCCGCCTCCACATCCACGGCCCCGCCCCTGCACCTGTGGACCCTCCCCATCTCACGGCCCGCCCCACCACCACATCCACCGACACGTCCCTGCATCTATGGC